GTGGAGATGCAGATATGCTTATCAAGATTTACACGTCATACAATGTATACAGGTACCCAGACACCCTGGGGCACTCCACCATATGTACGAGTTGAATGTGTCAATTAAAACTCTATAAGAGACCAGGCATGAAGGCACATACCTATAATCTCAACACTCTGGATTCTGAAACGGGGGATTGCTGTAAGTTCAAAGTCAGCTTGGACAACACAACACATGCCAGGCTAGCTGAGACTAAATAGCAGGACGCTGTCTCAAAGAAAACAAACAAGTGAAAAAATGTAATATGTCCAGGGTATGGTATCCAAAGTAAGCACAAATGAAAAACAATTTCTGCCTTGAGAGATTTGGAGGTGGGCAGGAAGGGACCCAGAGCAGGGAGAGGCGGCACTGGAAAGGTATACCTGCATAAGACCAGGAGGGAGGGCCTGGCTTTCTGGAACAAGGATTTGGGGCTTAACCCTGTGGTTTGTAGGAAATAACCAACATAATAAAGTGGTATAAGCTAATTGTTTCTGATCATATTGTGGTTGGAAAATGGGCATTTGATGAGACTAGAGGCATAGTTAGAAGTTATATTCTTGGAGTAGCCAGACCAGGGGCAATCACAGTCGAGGAAGGCGGCAGCCCTAAGGAAAAGATGGCAAGAAGGTAGGTGCTGGGGGCACAGGAGGCAGATAGAAGGGGATGGTTATTTATGGTGTGAATCTTGAGCCCACTCATTTTATTTGAAGTATTCCCATCAAGAAACTCATTTCTAAACTGTGGATCCATGAGAAGGAATGCTGTTACTAAATGTGGCTACCTAATATGAGTTGTCTTTAGAAGTAGGGTGCAAAGAGATCAAATAGAAGGGAAATAAATTACATTATAAAAAACAGTTGTTTGCCCATGGTTTTATTTAAAAGGGGATATTCAAAGTTTAGAGTTGTATTTCAGGCCTCTTGACCCAAAATACAGGTTTATTTCTTAACACTTTGAAAGGTGATTAATGCTACGTTAATTGAGATTAGCATTAAATCATTCAATGTTATTGTGTCACCTGACCCACATAGAGCGTGATGACATTTGTCCCACATTGATCTAAGTTTCTGATAAAGAAGACTATCTTGTTGGCATGTGAATGGCCTTTAATTCCAGTACTCAGTATGCAGAAGCCAGTTGATCCCTGTGAATTCAAGGCCAGAATACACAGCAAGTTCTAGGCCAGTTAGGGCTACATAGTGAGACCTTATCTCAAAAAAATAATTCTATTTTGCCAGATGTAAATGATTATTGTTTATAGCTGATGTATAGGTTAAACACAGATACGCCTATCATTCACACCAAGTTTTGTACTTTTAATTCCCTTACACAGAGGAAAAAGGTGGCATTGCAGATGAATCAGTTAGGGTTGGGTACCGCACAGTCCTCTATTCTCTGTGTTTTTATGACAGTGCATTCAAAACACCTCTATGATGTGGCTGTATAGAGAATACCTGCATGATGACAACACCAGGATACAAACCAATGTGCACAGGGGAAATTTCGCATGATCCCCCCCCCCCCAGATGAAGAGCTATCTGAGGTCAATGGCTGCTCAGAGAAACGGATGATTAGTTTTCTCTGTGATAAGTTCCCACAAGATATCCAATTCCAAGTGATCAGCCCAGGACACATATACATATGAGCAATGCTAAATGGATTCGGTAAGTTGAATGTGTGTTGTGGAACAGTAGTTGAAGATGCGTTACACTTGCTTATGCTGTGGAACATTTGTTTAATGATGCAAAGATGTGTTGCATTCTTTTATGTTGCATTTATTTAACTCTGTGAAGCTGGGTACTTTGCCTGTCTAAAACACCTGATTGGTCTAATAAAGAGCAGAATAGCCAATAGCTAGGCAGGAGAAAGGATAGGTGCAGACAGAGGGAATATATAGGAGGAGAAATCTGGAAAGAGAAGGCTGGGGAGCAAAAGGAGGAGAGGAGGACTCCAGGGGGGCAGCTACCCAACTACACATCAGTCACAGAGTAAGAAATAAAGGCAGGTATATAGAATAGAGAAAGATAAAAGCCTGGAGACAAAAGATAGACAAATAATTTAAGAAAAGCTGGCCAGAAACAAGCCAAGATAAGGCTGGGTATTCATAAATAAAAGTAAGCCTTTGTGTATTTATTTGGGAGCTGTGTTATGGGCCCCTCAAAGAGTAAAAGAAAAAAAGTCAACTACATATGTATGCATATACATGCATAGATAGAAAAGCATATGTATACATACGTGTGTGTGTGTGTGTGTGTGTGTGTGTGTGTGCAACAGTAATAATTAAAAAGAGACCATGAATTTGGGTTGGGAGACATGAGTGGAATTTGGGGGGAGGGCAGAATGGGATGATATATAGCTTTTTTAAAAAGAAGAAAAAGGAAACCGACCTTTTACATAACTCTACTGAAGCTTTTATTTCAGTCTCCACTTTGCGGTTGAGGTGCAGATTACATGTGTAAATAATTTCTCTTGAGTCATACTTTTTTTTCTGGCAGATTATTTATAGAGTGTGTTTCAGGGCAGTTCTTTACTGGCCCACGGCCTGACATCTAACCTGACAAATGACCACTTGTTCCTTTCTCAGGAAACCTGTCTCTCTGTACAGCTCAGCATAGTCTCAGACTCAATCCTCCTGCCTCAGCTTCCGGAGAGACGGCATCACATGTGTGTGCCACCATGCCTATCCTCTTGAGTTGCACTTTATAATAAGACGGTGCCTGGCTTAGATCAGGGATGCCTGGCCCCAAGAGCCATCTTTTGAAAAACTCCCTAAGAATGCAAATGAAAAGCAAAGCCAGAAAGTCTTTTCTGGAACAGTTCAGCTCTCCAGTGTGGACATTCAAGCCCAGGTGGGCTTGTGGAACTCAGATCTCTGAGTCCACCTGGAGTGTTACTCTCAATCGGCCTGGGATGGGAGCCAACTTCTTGAGATCCCGGCCAGTTCCCAGGTGCTGCTGATGCAAGGGAGTCCAGATATCACTTTTCCGGGAGGCTGACCTCAATCAATACTCTTTCTTATTTCGGGGATAAGTGCTCCACAAGGCCAAGTACACAGCATCTACTGGAAATTCCCTAAGTAAATCCATACATAGCTGGAATATTCTCTCCCAGAGGGACAGAATCGTACCCTTTGAAGGCAGTTCTGGGCATCCCTGTTCTCACCAGGATGCTGTTGACTTTAGCCTACATCCCAATTGAAAAATTAGAGTGTGTAGAATATTCTCATGAACACAAATGCACTTTGGATGGCTGGTGACTTGTTCGGACTTTCTATAGATGGATAACTCTATAGTTTCCTTGTTTGGTTTTGGGGGCTTTTGTAGAGAATTCCACCCTTGCCCAGGCATGCGGAATGATTACAGATGTTTGTGGAATGTCTTTAAGGATATTTCTTTACTGCAGCATAAGGCCTACCAAGTCCCAAAGAGGTTATACAAGTACTGATGGGTGATCTGGAGGCAGAAGCAGCCAGTAGAGGGAGAACTACAGAAGGTGGAATCTGTTAGACTTCTGCTGGTGTGAGGGACATAATCCTGGCCTTACCTCTTCTGCTTTCTTTGCCGACTTTGGAGTGGTTAGTTCAAAGAAGACACCAGAAAAGCAGGGAGTTTATTCAAATGGCTCACAAATCAATCACAGGTGTTACTACAGGCACCAGCTGTGAGTATGCTGATTTGCATCAGTGCAATGAGGAACAAGAGGGTTCCACATTACAAGCACAGAAGGAGGGGGACATGCTAATAAGGCCAAAGGTAACCAGAGTCAGCTGGGCTTCAGACAACCTTAGCCAGGCCTAAAAATGGTGAGCACGCATATGCATCCCTTGTCTATTTATACACAGAAAGGGGAAGGGGTACCAGAAAGAAGTTGTAAGAACAAATAGCATTTGGAAATAAAATGCTTAATTTTCTCATTCCCTGCCTTTTAGAGTCATCTACAGAGTCTTCTATGAGGCCTGTGTATTGCTTTAGCGAGAGCTCTGCCTCCCCAGCGCTGGGATTATAGCTGTGGCCCTCCATGGCTGGCCAGAACTTCCTCTCTGTTTTTGTATACAAACCTTTTCCAAAACGAAGAGCCGCTGGCCACCTTCATGAGCCAGGAAGATCCTTTTCAAGGACCAAAGAGCCATCTTCCTGTGGCCTGGTCCCAGGGGTGGGGTAGAAGCTGAACTTCCTCCAAAACTGCCAGCTATGATCATCACTTGTGTAAAGTAAAGAGACACAGCTGGTCACCCTGATTTGGGATGAACCGTGTGACAAAATGCAATGTGTACTTACCTGAAGACTGCTTGTTGCTTACAGGGTGGATCTGCTTGGCCCTCAAAGGCTGTTTCTGTCTTTGTGATCTCTTTAGCAGACTGCCCGGGCTGTGGCCCCACACAGACTTAAGGCCAATGTAATGAGAAAACTGTCCTCTTGGTTACATTTCGTGTGCAAGTCTCCTGGGTTGGCAGAGGGTTTTGTTATCACTGTTTCCTTGGCAAGGTCACACGGAACTGAGTCACAAGGGAAGTGCCCCGTTGCGGAGGAAGTACTTCCCCACTGGCACCCTTGGCTTCTAGGACTCAGTACACGTCCTCCTGCTGAGTCTCTGGGCTCTGTGACGGCAGACCCTGTGAGAGCATCATTTTCTAAATGTTCTCAATAACTAGCAAAGAACCAGGAATAGGGTGGGTAGTCAGAGCAGGTTGAACTGCTTGAGTTGGGGCGATTAGATAATCCTGTTACAGTTTCAGAGTCTGAGTTTTTAACGAGCTGAAATTTATCCCTATTGCGATTGGAGATGGGGTGCTTACCTGGCACCCTCAAGGCCCTGGGGGCCCCGGAAGCATTTATTGAGTATCTTCTGTATGTCTATGGCTGACGAATGAAGTCCAGCTGATGTTACACATAGGGACGCCCTGGACATTTACCTGCCCACCCCATGGCTGGAGCCTCTCACTTCCAGCAACTTCATATGCACAGACTCAGTGGACTCTAGCAATCATCTTTATTTCTTGGTAGGCGTTAAAGGGACATGAGCACTGGTGGCTCCTCATGGCCGAGCAGGGCATCCCTGTCCCTGGCAGCTCTCCTGATGGCTCCAACTGATGCTGCTCCTCTTTGGTCAACCTAAGAACAGTGGGATCAGGTTTCTGACACCCAGAATCTCAAACACTCTTACTCAGAAACCCTCTTGTCTGCACCTGCAAGCTCCAGGTGGCTCCCTCAGAACGTCCCAGTACTGGAAATTCCTGGAAGCCTTGGATCCCCCTTCTCAGAGGATCTCCAAGGGCCCCCACTTACTTCTCTCTAGTCTCTGCTTCTGTTCACTGGGTGCCTATGTCTCCCCTGTCATTCTGACTTTCCAGGATGCTCTGGGACTGCCCCCCCAATTCCTCCAGCCTATGAGGAAAGCAGAGAGAAGAAAACGAGCAATTGCCCAGGGCATCAGGGAGGAAGAGTCAAGACAGAGGCCTAAAGATCAGAGGCGTGAGCTGACGGGCGTGGTCCTCCTCTCACCCACAGTTGCCAAGGGGGTTCTGGGCCTCCCTAGCTGTCTGCAGCCTCTTCTCCACTTCCTGCAGTCTGGCACACAGCAGAGTCCCTGCAGGAAGTGGTGGATGTCAAGGGCGGTTCCCTGAGGCCCTGTGCCCCCCCCCCCCATCACTGCCCTGGTCTCACTCTCCGTCAGCAGCTGATCCTGGTTGTGTTCCATTGTGCTGATCTCCTGGGTCAGCCGCTGCTGCAGGACCTGCGAGCAAAGAGGCTCGTCTCTCTGTTCTTCTGTCCTGATTACTCCTCCAGTTCATCCCTCTCTGCGCTTTTGACGAAGTCCTTCCTTACACTAGGTCATGCACTCATTCTTTAACTCTGCAGTTTCTGCTGTGGCTACAGACTCACTTCAGCCCAATGTGCCCATATTTCTCAATCTACTTCTTACAACTCTTCTGACCCCTACACCCATTTGCTGTTCTTTGAATGTTCCAGGAGTTCGGCCTTTCTCAAGAAGGAACACTTCTATACTCAAGTGTTCAACACATGTGGTCAGATACCGACAGGTCAGAGGCGGTGCCCCAGGCTTACAGGATCTATCTACTTTGCCTCCTTGGCTGGACTCTGGGTCCCCTGCCCCTTGAGGCAGAAAGGGCCTTTTGGTGTACCACTGTCCCTCCCTGCCTAGAATGCTGTCTGATGCTCCCATCTGCAGCTGAATGAACATTTCCTCAAGGGTCCCATGGGCCACTTTCAGGAGACACAGAATCCACAGAAGCTATGACAACAGCCAGCAAAGGGCGCTAGGTATGGAAGAGGGGGTGGGGAAAAGCAGCCAGTTGTGGGGCCAAAGGTGACATGAAGAGAAGAGTCAGGGTCTCTCCCAGGATGTTGGGCCTAAGCAGGGGTGGGGGATTGGGGGGTGAGGGGATGGGGTGGGGATATGCTAAAGTCCTGGGAGGAGTGGAGGTTGGAAGAGACATCATGGCTTACATGGAACTCCCAGAGGTCCTTGCGCTGATTTGTCAGATCCTCCACTTGCTCCTCCAGTTGGCCGTTAGCATTCAACCTGTGGACAGATATCCAGAACTGTGTCCAGGGCCCAGTCAGTCCGTCAGGCCTGTGGCGCTTCCTGCCCAGTGCTTCCCTTCATGGTTCTGTAAAACCCTCCTCTTCAGCACCTTTTCTTCATATGAGCTCCACTCCCACCTGACTTAGCTGTCCACCAGACCCTGGGTTTAGGAATAACCCCAGCTTGCTCGGTCTGAATCCTGACAATGGAACTGTATACTTTCTGGGAGGGGACAGATCATTTGCCCTCAGATTCTGCCTGAGCCTCCACTTTTTCCATGAATGCTTCTCTTCTTTTGTTACGAGTGATCCAGTCTGCATCCCTCTGGGAGACAGCAGCCCTGTCCATCTAATTCAAAAGAAAACTGTATGAGGGTGCAGTTAGTCAAACTGTTGATATGATTCTATCACCACACTTCAAGGCCAGGGAAGGATCCTGCCTTGATGCTCTGTTTTAGAGAAGAGAAAGAGGAACGTGTATTGTGTATCCATGCTTCCTTACACTAGCTTCTGCTCTCTCCTCCTCAAGAGGGGCAGAGCTGGGGAAGACTCTTACCACTGAGTCTCGCTTTCCTTCTCTTGGCAATGCTTCTGGAGAATCATCAGAGCCTCTGTGGAGAAAGCAGACAAAAGAGACAGATGGGGGACCTTGACCTTGGGGGAACGAGGTTGGGTGGAGTCTGGAGGCCCCACATGACCTTGGATGTTGGTGGGCACTCACAGGGCTTGGGTGTATTCTCCACAAGAGCAGCCAGGGAAAGAGTTGAGAGAAGCCCGGGGACCCAGCTTTCAGTGGGACTCCTGTGGCTACTCAAGGGGTGGTCAGCAGGACTCCCATGGCTGCTCAGGGGGTGGTCAGCAAGACTCCTGTGGCTACTCAAGGGGTGGTCAGCAGGACTCCCATGGCTGCTCAGGGGGTGGTCAGCAAGACTCCTGTGGCTACTCAGGGGGTGGTCAGCGGGACTCCCATGGCTGCTCAGGAGGTGGTCAGTGGGACTCCCATGGCTGCTCAGGGGGTGGGCTTTGTGAAACAATGGGAAGAATGAAGAACGGAATACCTTGCTTCTTGCCCAGGACCTCCTCTAGGTGAGCTTTCTCGTCATTCACTGGAAAACACGGTGACACTTTCAGCCTCTGGAGCCTACATCCCATACCCCCATTGCAATTTCATCCAGTCGGAAAAATCACACAGAAGATGGGGAGATGGAGGTATCTCTCTCCTTCCCTTGCAATCTTCTCCCACAGGGGCCACCTCCCCTCATGCCCCCACACCCATGTCCTCTGTAAGTGCCAACAGAGGCAAAGGAGCGACTATCCAAAGGAAATACAAGTTCATTCAGGAAGGAAGAGTGAACTGTTAAAGAAACAAATATGTCAGGTAAAAATAGATAGGAAGAAATGAAGCAAAAGCAGAGGGAGGGAGAAGTGGGGATGGAGAGGGGGTAGGATTCTGTTTTTAGATGAAATCATCAAAAGTGGGCTCATCAGGGCTATCTGAGCTGGGAACTGAAAGATAGCAGGATGTAGTGGGCAATCTGAGTTGTATGGGTTTGGAGGACCGCAGGTGGGGGCACAGTCTGTGCGAAGGCCCCGAGGCCTGTTTGGAAAAGCCAACAGCAGTAAAGGGATCCCTGGCTCCTTCTTTTGGTCCCACTCACAGGAATCTAGTTCCTGATTCATGGCTTCCTGGAGTGCTTGGGCCTCTCCCAGTTCCACGCTGGATCTCCTCTTTTCTGGACCAAAGAAAGGAAGAAGGGATCACATGAGTACAGCCCTGGAGTTTTTCCTACAGCTTGTGGCATGGCTTACTCTTTTCTCTGACAGCCCTGGGTGGAGGTACGCCCAGTCCAGGCTCCTTCCTGCTGGTATCCACCGGCCAGTCTAGGTTCCCACATTTACCTTGCTGCAGCTCATTAATTCGATGAATCAGGTCCTCAATCTGGGGTTCCAGGCTTCCCTCTGAAGAAAGAAGGCAGATTGAGGCAGGAAAGGCAGATGCTCGGCTGTCCTGGGTGGGAGGAGGACTCCTATCTGGTGCTGGGTTTCTACTGTTAGCCAACCTCAAGCTCCCAGGGAGCAGCTGCTCTGCATTGGGATCTGTGACAAGTCCTTGCAGGGCTTGCATTCTCGGTGGGGTGGGGTGGCAGGCTGGCTATGACTCAGTCTGGGGGCAATACCAGTTACAAAGATGACACCAGGTGAGGTGTTAAGGACCATATGGGTATTGGTGCTTCTTGAGATATGGAAACAGGCCCTGTGCGCCATGGGGAGGCGTGTGTGGTTAGATGGATAAATGGATGGATGAATAGATGGATGAACACACGGACAGATGAATGGATGGATGGGCTGATGAATGGCGTGTATGTGTATTTCTCTTTCTCTCTCTCTCTCTGTGTGTGTGTGTGTGTGTGTCTATGTGCCTCTGTAAGTGGAGGCTCTTCCATCCTCTTAAAGATTTTGAATTTTTAGCTGTGGGACTTGATTTTCAACTCAAAGAATAAAAGTGAATAAGAATAAGTCTGTGCCAAGATCTCCTGAGTAAATTGGGAGCATGTGGACCATGGGGGAGGGCAGAAGGGGAGGGAAGAGGAAAGGAGGGGATGGAGAAAAAGATATAGCTCAATAAAATCAATAGACAAAACAAACAAGCAAAAAGAATAAGTCTGTGCAATAGGATTGTTTTCCAGAGCCGTGGGTGGAGGGTTTTAGATTCTAACTCTGCTTGCCTGACTCAAAAATCTAAGACTCAGACACAGGATACCTGACCTTTCTGCAGCTTTTTCACTGTTTCCAGCAAGTCTTCAGTCTTACTCAGAGATGTGGCCTGGCCTGTAGAAAGGAAAACCATAATTACAGTAAAGGTTAAGCCAGGGAAGACATAAACCCTGGTAGAGGAGCAGCGAGGATTCTGTAGAGACTCCTGGGCTGCAGCCAAGGCTGGGATGAGGGTCAGGTTTCCATCAGAGCAGAGCACCCAGGGAATCCTGTTCTCTGTATCTAAGGAGCATGTTGTATAGCTGATGAATCAGCTTCTCCACAAGAGGACAAAAGACACTCCAGAACTCCCCGTGGTCCAACGCAGGGTAAGAATGTATCCCGCTGCTGAAAGTCATGGGGAAGTTCTAATCCATGTGACAGGGAAGGCAGATTACATACTGATTTCTTTAAAATTAATTATAGCCCTAATTTGTAAATTCTAACAAACTGATGGGTCTAGACATGGCTACACATGCTGCTAATACATATATATTTAACTCATGTGTGTATGTTGCTGTACATATGTATCAGATATGGGGAGGTGCATTTATTCATGTGGACAAATTTACAGGACAGAAGCCAACTTCTCTGTCACACGCCACTGTACTTCTGTGACATAGTCTCTCACTGTACGTGGGGCTGTTCATGTCAGCTGGACTACCTAGCCAGCCTGAGTCTGGAAACTGACTCATATCCAACCCTCATCCCTGCTCACTCCAGGCGGGGGTTACAGACTCTATGCTGTACTTGGTGTGGGATCTGAACTCAGGTCCTCAGGCTTGCACAGCAAGCACTTTACCTATGCAACCATCGCCCCAGTCCCTAAGCATTTTAAGTAGAAAAAAGTGGGTTGAGGAACCTCATGATGTACAGCTGAAACACTGTTTATGAAAGCATAAAAGACCCCCAACACAGTGCTCAGTCCTACTTCAATTTGATATGCCATGTTTTGTTAATATCCATGGGAGGGCTGCCCTTTTCTGAATAGAAATGGAGGAGGAATAGGTGGGGGACAGAGAGGAAGTGGGCAGAGGACTAGGAGGAGAGGAAGAAGGGGAAGCTGCGGTCACAATGTAAAACAATAAATAAAAAAAAAAAAAGAAAGACCCCACCAAAAAAATTGGAATTACACCAAGATTTTGACATTTTTTATAGTAACCCAAAATACATACAAAGAAAGAACAGGTGAACATGGTAATGATGCTTTTGGGAATCAATTCAATATTATGAAGACTAGGAATCAATACATACAGACACACACACACACACACACACACACACACACGTGCATGCGCGAACATGCAGATGCACCGTGGAGACTGGGAAAAACCCCACATTAAGATTGTACCCATCTTTCTCAAGCCTCACTAGAGGTAAGGACAGAGCCAATCACTAGAGGGCAGGACCCAGGGACCTCTGTTCACCTTAGTCTTGTCCACCCCTCCTCCCTTCAGACTGTTTAAAGGCACAAGGAAGATGGCGGGAAATACGCTACTGTCCTTGCCAGGAACGGTGACTTGTGACTTCGTTCTTCTCCTAAACCCTCAGTTCAGTTTCACAGTTCATCTTGTGTGGGCTTTCATTCCTGAATCTTGGTGAACTCCTTAGGTTTAACCTCTTGGCCTCAAAAATACTGAGCACTTGCATTCCCTATCTTCTTATTACACTGTAATTGGTTATGCACCCTTATGTGGAGCCAGTGTAAGAACCTCTCCTCTGGACTCTTGTCGTACAGTCATAGATAACTACTAAAAGTCAACAATGGAAGAGCTAGCAGCATTAGGAGATATTCCCATCAGTCAAGTTAACAGTTTCTTCCTTGAAGCTGTAGAACTTAACAGTCAACTCTGGGGTGTAAATATCCTAAGGCCAAAGATCCTAAGCCCCAAAGTTTGGGGCTGAATAATTTTGAACATAATTCCAATCTTGAGATCTAAAATCATGAAAGTTGATCTCTAAGTTTTTCAGTTAATATTGTGAATGTCTTCAAACATGAGTTTGAATGCACAGAAGAAATAAAAAGGAGAAAGAATGACCTGAGGCCTGTATCAACACACTACAACGAACTGAACTGATGTGGCTCCTGATTCAAGCAAAGGCATTTTTCATGATGCATATTTCTATAGACGGTTCAGCATGAGCCCACAGTACTTTCAAAATTCAAACAACAGTCCTAGGAAGAATGCCACAAATTCTTGAGATCAATGATAAAAGCTCAAATCCCAGTGACCTGCTCCTTTCCATAGAAAGCAGGACAGAGAAGAAATATAGCTCATAAACACAGACCACAGGCAGAAAGTGCTTCTCCACAGCAGTAAAGAGTCCCTTGGCCTCAGACCGCAAGTTCCCAGTTCCTCTCCTTAGAAGTCATTCAGTGACCCAAGCCGTTGCTTGACATACAGGCAAACACCCTTTCTCCACAGGCAGGAAACTAAGTCACACAGGATGTCACAGCTCTCCTGGTTTTCACATGACAAGTGCTCAGTTTCTTCTTCGGTGGCGATGCAGTATTTCAGTGTACATATGCTGTAATTTAAGAGCAGCGTCCTACTGCTGTCTATAGGCTGTCTCCTTCACAGCCACAAATGTGACACGGTTACTGTTTCCTTTTCTCAGCTGCAGAGACAAAGTACTATAAAGTAGGTCCTCCCTCTGTGTCTGATGTCACTGTGCTCCATGTTTCCTTTCTCTTGTAAGGATATTTACCACTGAACTAATGTTCATCCTAAATCAGTATGACCCTCATTCTAAGTAGTTATATCTACAAAGATCCTATATGCTGGTTACTTCGCATTTTGTTTGGTCTGGATGTGTATGGATAATACCTGCATGTACATTTGTGCTCTACATGTCTGGTGCCCAGAGGTCAGAAGAGGAGTCAGATCCCCTAACTGGAGTTATAGAAGGTTGTGAGCAGCTGTGTGGATGCTGGGAATCAAACCCAGGTCATGTGGAAAAGCAGCTAGGTGCTCTTAACCACTGAGCCCTCTCTCCTGCCCTGACAGTTTTAATTATCAACTTGCCACAACCTAGAATCACTGGAGAAGAAAGCCTGGGTGGGAGATGACCTAGGTCAGGTTGGCCTCTGGGCACAGTGCTGGGGGATTGTCTAGACTGTTAGTTAATGCGGGAGGGTCCAGCTATTGCTATACTAGTCCCCGAGTTAGGGTCCTGACAGAGAGGAAAAGGCTGACTGAGAGCAGGGAGCAAGAAGGCAACATAGCGGCACGTGTTTCCCTCTGCTCTTGGCTGAGGGTGTGTGGCATGAGCAGCTGCTTCAGTGAGTTCCTGCCCTGACTTCCCAGCTGTGATGTGATGTGGGAGTCTTCTGTTTTGTGTTGATTTCATTGGTTAAACAAAGAAACTGCCTTGGCCCTTTAATAGGACAGAAAATTAGGTAGGTGGAGCAAACAGAACAGAATGCTGGGAGAAAGAAGCCGAGTTAGGCAGTTGCCATGATTCTCCTCTCCAAAGCAGACCCATCTTAAGATCTTTCCTGGTAAGCTACCGCTTCGTGGTGCTACACAGATTATTAGAAATGGGTTAATCAAGATGTGAGAATTAGCCAGTAAGAGGCTAGAGCTAATGGGCCAAGCAGTGTTTAAAAGAATACAATTTGTGTGTTGTTGTTTCGGGTAAAGCTAGCCGTGTGGGAGCTGGGCGGCGGGAAGTGGCCCGCTGCTCCTCACTACAGTGATGCACTATCCCTGGAACTGTACGCCAAATAAACTTTCTCCTCTAAGTTGCTTTTTTATCAGAATAGTTTATCACAGGGACAGAAATGAAACTAGAACATTCTGTTTTCAAATAAGGTCATTTTTTGGCATTTTTTTTTATTTTGCAACAACTTCATAAATGTGTATCATGTATAATACTTTGAAGCTCTGGTGGGCCCAAGCTGGGGAAGGGGTCATAGTTTTATTTCAATTAGTCTTTGGGATGCTGTACCACATCAAACCTGCAACCCTGCACATACTAAGCCATGTGGTCAGCTTGAGGGGCACACTTTTTTAGTATCCATTCAACACGTGCTTCTGCTCCCCTTGGCCAGTGCTTGTGAAACACATCTGAATACTACTTCCAGAACACACGCTACATCAGAGGCTGTGCCTATCACTACATTTGACTGACTAAAACAACACCTCAGTTCAAGCTTTCTGGGACTCTGCACCAAGACATTCTTATCTCGTCCTTATCAGAAACTCCATTCCAAAGAATGATCTTAAAGGCACCATTAAGGGAGGTAGACGTGATCTTCACTGCTCCAGTGCCAAACATAGTATCCGGTAGGAACCTGAAGATACCTCAGAGCATCAATTACGGCACACTGGTAGGGTGAAATTCTTTACAGCCAATAGCAATCACATCGTACAGCGGCTCTTCTGTTTTGTTTGCTTTTTTACCTTGAGCTCGTCTTGCTGAATGCTGGGCGCTTGTTCATCTTCTTCGCACCCTTTTTTCTCGCTATAATGAACTAGGAATCATTTGTTTGCCTCTGCACTTTAATTATTTTTAGTTACTTAGACATGGATAATAGAACATGGCATTAAATGTCCATGGGATGGAGAAAGGGCTAAGGGGTAACAAGGGCAGGAGTACTACTCTTCCAGAGGACCCAACGTTCAGTACCCAGCACCTACCTCAGACAGCTTACAACTACCTGATTCCAGCTAGGGGAACCCAGTGCCCTCTCTGGCCTTCTCTGGCACCTGTGCTCACATGTACATACCACACACACACACACACACACACACACAAAAAAAAATAAGTAAAATCTTTTTTAAAAGTCTCATTTCACCAACATGCCCTTCTCAGAATTAACCACTGTCAGCAGCTCAGTGACTATATTTTCATCTTTTAAAATAAATATATTTCATGTGTCACTTACTTAAAAAAAATTAATACAGAAATAACATCCTAAAACTCCAAACACTACAAAATCTTTGAAGAAATAAAAATTCCCCTTCTCTTTGGTCCTGAATCTCCTTACCATGATACACTCATCTCTGCATATATATATATACATACACATATACACATATATATGCATATATATGTATATATATGACACACACATATATAGGATATATCTCCTCCTGAGACATTTTTATTATTTAAAATCATTTTAATATTTTTGCAAAGAAAGAAAAGCACACGACAGAGAAAGGTGACTGTCTGCTTAACATTTTATGAAAACTTTCAAGCGCAGAGTGAGGATGTTGGGATGAACCCTAATATACATGGCCCAGACACTAGGACTGGTAACATCCAGCCATCTTTGTTTCTTCTGCTACTCTACTCACTCCCAGTATGATCAGCTATCACCACGTAGTATGCCAACATTCAGACCATATGTAAGAGCCACATGCTCTCCAGCTGGCCTTTGCAACTACTTCTGCAGAAGCTCCATCCATGGCTTTCCTCTCTCTGCTTTTCAACTGCTAGTCATAAGACCCCTGGTCAGTGATAAGAACAATTTAAAAAAATTTTTTATCTCTATTTTAACATGTTTGAATGTTTTGCCCTGCATGTTTGTCTGTTCACATGTATGCTTTATCCCTGTGGAGGTTTAGAAGAGTATATTAGAGTTACAGGCAGCTGTGAGCCAGTGTGGATGCTGGGAATTGAATCTGGTCCTCTGCAAGAGCAGCCAGTGCTCTTAACTACTGAGCCATCTCTCAAGTCCCCAAGTGATAAGAAAATTCTAGAAATTCCTACAGCCAGTAGCCTTTGAGTTATCTGCCCACTTGGGTGTGGCCTCTTATACTATAAATGCTAATGTAAAGCACACATTTGCTTTTTTCTGGCTGCGGGGTTCAGTTGCTGTTCCCCATTCAAGCAGAGGACTGTGATCTGAGTCTATCCCTAAATAAATAACCCTTTATTATACTCAATTCTGAGCTAGTGTGGGATTTCTTTTTAGCTTTGGTCTTCATATCTCTGTTAACTTAAAACAACAAAAACCTTCCCTATTACAAAAGAAGAGAGCCTGTGGGAGGATAAGTCCCCTTTTTAACATTTTATTTCGAAATTATTTCAGATGTACACAAAAGTCGTAGAAACAGGCTGTGGTACTCTATTATCCCCGCCACGTTTTGAGTGTTTTTCATCTGTAAGCTGCAGACAGTATGACCTATTAATACTCAATACTCCAGTGCATATTTCCTATATACAGAGACTCCAAGTAACTGTACAATAGCCATTAAAACCTGGGTGTTAACATTGGTCCGATGCTAATGTATAATCCTCAGGTGCTGCTCAACTTTCCCTTTCCCTCTTAATTTTAAATTACATATTACTACCTAGTTTTCTAAGCGATAAATAAAACAATGAATCACAAGAGGCCTCAGTTTGCTCCCCTCCCCCAAATCCAAAGCCCTTAACCAGTTATCAAAGTGTGCTTTCCTCAGATACCTTCCAGGAAGCTGTTCTTGACAACCCCAACTACTCAATAAGAAAAAGAAAACTTCTGGGGCCCTTCTTTTATAAATGAACAATCTTATCAACTGAAAATTATGTTTCTTCCACCTCTTTCAAAAATCTACAATCTACATGACTCTCCCTAGATTTGGTCATTTTTGTGACCACTTCTTGTATCCCTGCCTCTGTCGGTAAGTCACCATTGACCACTCTCGGTCCATGTGTTTGGGTATTCAATCTCCTGTGATTTCCTAGCATGGAAGTACAGATGTGGAAGAGCATCTGCTAAAAACCTAAGCCTCCAGCAGCAGGCCTGGATACCACTGGTGCTAAGTGTGCTCCCCCTAAGCCCAATTCAGTGGCAAAGAAACATAACCTGATATTCGTTCCAACTTCCTCCAGGGCCGGTGAAGTCCCTGATTAAACATGAGGAATTTGAAAGTTTGATGCTAAGATTTTAAATCTCTGTGGCACTGTATCAACCTCTCAGTAAAGTGTGATTCACAGTTGTCTGATTTTCATTATTCTTTGAAAATGGGCACCCAAATGAGACTACAATTTAAGACAGATTCTGTTAAAATGATTTCATCATTCACCCATTTTAAAAAAAAGAAAAAATAAATCGTGTATCAAGCACCAAGTAGGTGTTTTGGGTGCCCAGGGAAACTGTGGGTCTTGTTTTTGAAGGTCACACCTTTGTTTTGGAATCTGAATGGACAGGTCTAGCCAGATGCTGCCTCCCAAGTTTGGTCACATGGTTACAGACCTGGGGCTCAGGAAGGGAAGGTGGATTTAAATATGAAGACGTTTGAACCCACTGAAGCAGGGTCAGGGTCACTGGTCATGCTATTTTCTCTACTTTGGAATGTTTGGGAATTTTCTGTAATAAAAAAACGCTCTACTGGTGGATTTACCGTGATACACATTTTCTTCGGAAGGAACTGCAATTTCCGTCAACTCCATCTCCTTAACCCCAATGAGGGGAGAAGCTTCATTACTTAAGTCAAAACAAATCTGAAAACAGTGTGAGAAAACCATTCTCAAGGGCCTTGAGCAGTCCAAGTAGTAATCATCTAGGCTGGCTGTAGCAACAGGGCAGTTTTTGTGAGAACATCACTATCCCTTCCCTATTTGCTTAGTAATGGATGCTGAAAAGAACTGCCGAAGTATTTAATAATGTCAATGTTGGCAAGTTAACCTAGGTGATGAGAACACTCAAGCTATTTATTTCCACTGTGTGGAAGTTAAAAATCTCAACAGGCTAAAAACATTTTTTTTTTTTCTAAAAAAACTACTCTCGATTATTATATTGGGCTAAAGCCTCGCTCCCTTCTACCCTGTGGGCCCTCACTACCTCCAGCGTCCTCAGCTTCCTCAGCTCCCAGCCACTTGGCAGCCATTTCCCAACGTGGAGCATATGCGCATGTAGAAAAACAGTGGCTGGGAAAAGCAGCGCGTGCGGCAACAGCGATTGTAGGAAACCAGGGGGTGGGGCGACATAGGTATCTGCTCTGAGCAACCGCAGAACATCTGCAACGCAACTGATAGCACGCATGCGCACAACCACAGGGCCATATGCTAAACTAGGCTGGGGAAGCAAGGTAGTGGGTTGTTGAGGAGGGTTGTGCGTGCTAGCTCTTTAAGGGTTCTTTTTTTCTTGCTGCTGCAAGCGGCCAACGTCCAGAATAAATGTGTTCGACAGAGTCCCAAGCCCTGTCCCGTCCACGTATCTCCAGTGAAAGGGCTGAAAGAAAGTTATCTCTCATGAGTAGAAGCCTTAGAGGCTAGGAGCATCTTCACAAAGCTGCATCCCGGCCGCCGGGTGAAGTCACGTGGCATGTGTTACTCAGGTAGACACTGGAGGCAAGGTTATTATTCGTGTAAGAAACAGCCCGAATCGGTGGGGCTTGGTTTTTTGGGGTTTTTTTTTTTGGGAAAATGATGGAGAAAAAAAGGCATGAAGGACAGAGGGACAGAGGAATGTCTTGTGGGATTCAACTTTAGGCCCTTTCTGTAGTTTTCTTTAAGCTCTAGGCTGGTTTCAAGACTAGTCCTGTATTACAAATTCTTGAGCCCTCGTGGGTTACTCACCCCTACTCTGAGGAAGCCTCAGCCCAGTCTCAGGTCTGCTTGGAAGATGGACATGGAGCTACCTGTGCTGCTTAGAAGAGGCTGGGGGGGGGGGGGGGCAGTTGGTAAAGGGTGCAGTGACATTCAGGTTAGTTAAGGGGGTGAAGCAGTGGGCAAAGGAGGTTTTTTACTTTCCTAGATGTGGAGGTGCATAAGGGGGCTCACAGAGCAACCTGTGCCCCTAGCTGCTGTGCCCCTTCTCCCAGTTATGGGCAAACCCTGAGATCTTACCCACTTGCCCAGGGCCAGCCCCACACAGACTTCTTCCCACATTTCCAGAGACAGAATTTAGAAGCCAAAAGTGGTGACTCCGGCAGTCAGAGTCCAGAGAACAAGCCATTGTTGGGGGCCTGGTCCACTGAGGTGGAGGGCGGTGTGGAGTACTTGGGAGGGTAACGGATGAAAAGCCGGTCCTCTTCCTTCCTCACCCAGCGCAGGAGCTTCGTCACCACTAAGATGGCACCTGCCTTGGTCACCAAGGGGCTGAGGCAAGTATAGAGCTCAAATTTGGAGGTCACCTGGGGAGATGGGGAGGAGACAGTCAGATGGGCTAGAGCTGGCCAGGCGTAATCCTGGCCTCCCAAAGCCAACCTTGGGTGCTTCTGAAGCTTGGAGACATGCTTGGCAGCAACTGGATATGGCTTGCTGGGCTAAGGCAGGCAACCTGGGATTATCCTATCAAGGCAGATAAGAGGCCAGCTGGATCAGTGGCTCAACTGGATCGTTCTGACTCTGTATGTGTGTGTGTGAGTGTGCTTCTCAGTTTGCTTAGCTGTGGATTAGAGATAATAGTAACACCAACACTCAGTACTCAGTGAGCAATCATCACACACAAGGCTGTTCTGTCCTCCTTCCCCTATGCCCTTGCACACGTGGTCCTCACACCACCCCGAGACCAACCCCAGAGGTCTTCAGTTCCTTTTCTGTGCCACTTCCCACTGCTCTCTCTGGTGATCTCTTTCTGCCCCAGAACTTTGGTCTTTCTTTGCTGTTCCTCAAATGCAGCCAGCCGCAGCCCTGCAGTCTCTTCTCTATGCCTGCAGCTGCTCCCCTAGGCAGCTCGCCACCTTCACTCCAGTGGGAAGTCATTTATTCAGCAAACCCCCTCCCACGCACCGATGTACAGCCCTGGGCCCACTGTGTCTTGGTTTTAAAATGCCAACTCTCTAGAAAAAGCTGGTGAGGCTCCTTGGCAAAATGCCACGTCCAGGAAGGATGGAGTAAGTACAGTGAGCCAGCTGTGTGCACAGTGACAGAAATGTGCGGTGGAAAGCAGGGCCCAGGCTGCCCAAGTCATGGAGTCCACAGGCTAAGTCAGAAACAAGTGCAGTAAATGCTAGATACTATTTTAGACTACCAAAACCAAGAGAAACCTCATAGGGTAATATTTAAACAAAATATAAAACTTGGGGCCAGTGAGAGGAAGGCACTGACAACCTAGGAGAAGGGAGAGTAAGGGTTCCCACAAGCTGTCCACTGGCCTCTACACTTACCAAATGTGTGCACACATACATGCTAACTAAGGAAATGCAGTTCTTAATTAAAAAATCCAATATAAAGTCCCAACTATAAATGTAAAAAGTAGGACAGGTAGAAAACTGCCAGCAGGCAAAAACCTAGTAACTGCTGCATTTCAAACCAAGGAGGCGTATTAAAACGAGGAGGAGGTGTATAATTCTAACACCCAAAAATACAGAGTCCACAGGTGCCACAGATGCTAGTTACAAAGGAGAGGCACTTTATAGTAGAAACGTGCCATCTTAACTAAGCATCCAAGCGTGCACCACATGCCCTGAAACAGTGCGGAAACTGGCTCGTGCCACTTGGTGCCTAACTTCTCACTGTGATCACGGTCCACCATGACAAAGACCCGAGCCAAGGGGCCCTCTACAAGACAGCTTACTGATGTCCTTCCCAAGTGCCAAGGCCACAAAGCCTGGGGGACCTTTTCAGAACAGATGAGACCAGGGTACATAAAGAGCAAGTCCACCATGTGATCCTGGGCTGGGTTCTGGACCAGTAAGCTGACATGAACGGACAGCTGGCAGAAGACCAATGAGGCCTGTGGATTCTGTGTCACATCAGTGGCAACTGCCTAGGTTTGGCACGTCACCACACTTTTGTGAACATTTACCTTTGGGGAACGTGAGTGCAAGGTCATTTTATGGTAATTCCTTATACTAGCTTTACTACTTCCAACTCCAGAGTTACTTGAAAATTAGAAACAACAAAAACCAAAATGCTAACCTAGAACAGTGCTGGATCCATATGAATATGCACTGTTGTTTACAGAATGTGGTGGGGAAGGCTTTCCTTCCTATGGAACTGCCTGCCTGGCCACCAGCCTCTCTCAGTAGCTGATCTTTAACAGCCCCACAGGAAGGTCACTCCGGGGAGAGGGCACGGAGTGGTCCTGAACCTGCAGTGGTCAAGGAGAGCTGGGGACTCTATCCTGGTAGACAGGGAATTGGCAAGCACAATGACAGCTGCAGATGGGATCCGTGGAAGGCCAAGACCCTGCCTGTCCTGACTGCTCATGGGAAAAGCAAAGGAATGGCAGGCCTATGGTAGGACTGCATACAGTGAGAAATCCTTCTGTAGTTTAAGACACGTGTGCCCGTAGGGTCAGCGGTGCAGACAGAGGCAAAGTCTGGGCAAGTCCCTGTGTGCCTATGGTGGGTACTAAAGCTAAACGTTCATCACAGGGAAAGCAGGCCTGCAGTAGGGAACTGATTTACTGACAGCCTGACCAACTCACCCAGGCCAGCAGTGTCTCCTTCTCAGCCACGTGATAAATGAGGCGCAAGGGCCGGGAGGTGCTATGGAGGCGAGCATGCAGGCGGTGATACAGGTCGGACAGTCGCTGTCGCTCCTCCCCGTGGCTGTACGGGGCCTCTAGCTCAGGACTGCAACAGAGGGAGGCAGTAGCACCGTGAGTTGGCATTGGGCCTGCCTCCCAGCACAGTCTAGGGACTACAATTAGGTTACGGGGCTCAGCCTCCCGCCTTAGGCTTGAGGGTTTCCATAGGTTGTAAGCCAAGCTGCCTCCATTAAACTAGGAAGGAGGCCCTTTCTCCCACTAGATCAGAGAACTGTCTGCTCCCCCTTTCTAGGGCACGGCTGGCTAGCTCTCCTAACTCATGTGTATAAGACGCTGACAGTCCTGGTTAGACATGTCTTCAATAGCCTGCAGGGTCAGGGCCCACCTGGTAAACTGTGGTAGCTGGCGGTGTTGGTCAGGGATGTCCAGTGGTTTATAGAGGAAATGCCGGAGGCCAGGTGCTCCCACAGCCTGCACACTGTAGGCAGGGGCACTGGCTGCAGGTCCGTTAGAGAAGCTGGCAGCCTCCCCAAGGGTACGCAGGGCACCAAGGTGGTGCATTCCATCTTCAACCAAGCGCCGACAGGCGGCCATGGCATGGAAGGCTTCCCGGTTGGTACCAAGCAGTAGCAGGCAGACAGGCATGGAATCCAGGCGGGCCACATAGGCATAGAAGAAACCATCTGGGTTGAAGCGAGGGAGGCACACAGGTGCCCATGCCTCACCTGCTGCAAAGGCTGGTGCACCCACCCAGTCAAGCAGCAGCTGCAGATCAGCTGGGTCCAGCCGGCACTCCGCCAGCACATTCCTCTCCTGGGCTGCTGTTATCAGTCGACCGCCAACAGCCAGCACTGACAGGGCCAGGCCCGGGGCTGTACAGCGCCGCAGAAGTGTACCCAGGGCATCCCGCAGTGGACGGGCCAGAGGCACACAGCGCACAGCCCCCAGGAGCAGGGCACCAGGGTCTTGCTCCACACTGTCCAGGAGCCGGTCCAGTGTGCGCTCTGAGCCAGCCAGCAGACGACGGAGGTCATAGTTCTGCTTATGTGCGAAGATGCGGGCCACGCTTGCACGCGTGAGTGTGCTCACAATCTGTGCGTGCACTGCTAGCAGCTCGCCCCGTAACTGCGCTGCCGATTGTGGAGTCCGGGATACAGCCACCAGCAGGAGTGGGCCCTGTTGCAGGAACACCAGCTTGTGGTCCTCTAGGGGAAGGAAGAGTGGGCGGGGGCAGAGGCAGACCAGGAATGAGTCAGGGATCAGACAGGACAGCTTTCCCAAACACTCTCCGACACATACAGCCCCTGGCCTGAGCCCGAACTCGGACTCTGCCAGCACTCAAATTAGGGCACGGACAAGATGGGGATATTGGGCTGTGGAGGAATCATGTAATTTAGACAGACAACATGGAGTCAGGGTGGTGGGAATGGTAAACCAGACAAGGATGGAAACAAAGTCAGGCCACACAGCACACCTCTGCACTCCCAGACAACCTGGTGGTATACTGCCAGCCACGTGGATGGAACCCAAAGAGATGAATCCCCCGACAGACACCCTCACTGACTCACTTCTGGTGGCTAGACAGAGACTCACGTATACAGCAGACAGGTAGAGCTACCCATGGCTAGTTACAGACCACTGAACTCCTAGCTCTATTCCCACCAGCCCCATTATGTCCCCCGTTCTCTTCACTCACCGGCGTAGATGGCTCGGATGGCATCTCCTGCACTCTGTACAAAGGACACGAGGGCCGTCATCACACCCATGGTGGCAGACAGGGCCTCCACACTACCATACCGTGAGTAGATGGGCTTGCCTGCCTCGCTCAGCACAAACACGTGCTTCCTTTGGCTGCGCCAGTCCTCATCACTGGGGTCCCCGTCACTGGGATCCCCGTCACTGGGGTCCCCATCACCAGGGTCTTCTCCCTGGCCCTCAGTGCTACCCTCAGGTTCTCCAGGGGGATTGTTGTCGGAAGCTGCAGTTTTCCAGGGCTCACAAGTGCTTGCCAGGGCTTCAGCCGGAGGCAAAGGTGGTAGGAGGCTGGCTGGCTGGTCCTCGGCCTTGGATCCTGAAAGGGAGCCCTGAGTGGCTCATCTCCTGCTAACCCCGTATTTCAACAATCTATCAAATCCTTACCAGCCCTGACCCTCAACAACCCATGCATGTTGACAAAGCTCTCCATAGTCTTCCTAGCTATTCAGTGAACAATGGGTGACAATGGCTGGAACCTTCCTACCTGTGTCCACTAAGGTTTGAATGAGCCCACCCGAAAACACAAATATTCCAACATGTTCTCACTGTCGTTTACTGGTCCCCCCATTATTTCCTTTCAGCACTGCCATTCCTAGGTCTTCAAAGTGCCCCAGTCTCCAAACAACGATTAATCTGTTTATCTGCAGTGGCTCTTCACTAACTTCTCTGACCGCTTGTTTGTTCTGATGTGTACTTAACCCCTCAAAGGCCACCAGTGAAATACACCCACTGACTCTCCTAATCCTTTAGACCCTCCTCCACAT